CCTTTTCGGCAAAAGTGTTTATTTTTCATTCCGATGCCCTTTACGCAACTATCACTCGTTTTCATAATGCTCTATTTTTCTCTGCCTCTCAACTTCTCTTTTCCATTATGTTTGTACCATGTATCACTATCAACCTGTCTCTACACTTTGCTCAATGCCATTTTGCTTCCTCCTGCTCTGTTGTATGTGCCTTTTCTCTTCTGCATACCTTCCTAGTCTTTATACTTTCAAACATTCATCCAATTTTCATTTCCATGCTGCCTTCTACTTCTCTTCCATTGTATTTGTTCCATGCCCTGAATAGTTCTCTTACCTTGCTCCTTTATGCTTTGTGCTCATAGTTTATATATCTCTTTCATAAAGCCTGCTCTCTAGATCCCCCTCTCTCTTTCTCACTCACTTATCTTTTTATTTCATGCAGTACTCTTGTAATTACATCATACACATAAAATGGGAATATGAGAAGCATGTGTGACTTTCAGCCTGTTTAAGGAATAGCTAAACCCAAAAATGTAAATTTACCATACTTCAGATCACAAGTCCTTAGATGGTGGCTGCATTAGTTTTTCCTTTTTTAGACTTTTTCTCCCTTAATTTTCGCCTGGTAATCCTGGAGAAAACCCTTCTGGTTCCTGGGTGGGTATGTATCTATGAATGCAACAACGCTTGGCACCCAGGGTGAACTATTTAATACGTCTGCCTCTATTTATCTCTCTTGCATCGTGGCTGGTGGGATCAATTTACTACTAGTCAGCCATGTGGATGAGTGTAGGCTAAGACCTGAAGATAGCAAATACTTGCCCAGCATGATTTATTTAAAAAATTGCCCTCTAGACCCCTTGCGAGTTGACACTAGCTCCATCCTAAAGCAGAGATTGTCTACATCTTTACTGCTGATCTCCAGTCTGTGGAAACCCTATTTTATTTACTGGAAGAGTGCACAAAGGATTATGTTGTGAGATTCCCAAATTGAGTGGGATTTTCTACCTCCCCCCATGAGTGGTGGCCTTCAGATGAACTAATAAAGTGGTCAAAAGTGCAACATTCTAATTTTTTTTTTTACACCTTACACTCACATTTTTTCTGCTTAAGCGATCACTATTCCTTTGAGGTCCCCTCAATTTTTTTCTTGTTTGTTAATTCAGCAGAAGTTTGTTGTAAAATGTAGGAAACCAAAAGTGTGCATTTTTTTGGGCAAGACAGGTTAAACCTATACCTGATCTAATTAGAATACCTGACCCACTCGGGTCAATTTATTAAAGGAAAATTGGCTGTTCATTTTGCAAGGGAATTTGCACCTAGCAAAAGAATTTCCCTTAGCTTAGTGAATGAGGCGAAGCTCTGCTGATTTTCCTTATCCAATCATGTGCAAGAGAATATACTTTTTTTCTATGCTTCTGACTGGATATTCTTTGCAAAATGAATTTTCAGCTAAGGGAAATTTTCCCTTGCAAAGTGAACAGCCTATTATCCTTTAGTAAATCAACCCTATTGAGTGGAATGCCTGACAATTATTATTACCTTTTCAAGATGTTATTGCCCTATATGTTCATTTTTTCTATGAGTGACTTTGATTGTTTAAAGCGCTTGTGCAATAAAAATATTGCAATGTAAAATGATGTGTGATGGTTTTAAAACATGATTGTCTTTTTTTATTATTATTATGGTCATCATCATTTATTTAGTTAGGTGAATATGAGCCATTCATGCAACACTCCCCAGCATTCCAAAGAGTACATAATTGGCTGAAAGTACATTTTGACATAACTTTCACACTTTTATTTGCTTGCTATATCATGTTCTGATTACGGTTTTTCATTTAATTCAAGTGGTCTGTTAGGAAATGTGATTGACATTCTTGTTCAAAGTGACCTGACAGCCCATTTGTTTGTTCACTCTCCTCTGCAAGCATTTGATCAGAAGGGTGGGTAGAACACCTGTTTCCCCTGCCGATCACTGAAGTTCCTCCTGACAGCTTGTACTGTACTTCCTGTTGTAATATACAAGCTGGCAGCAGAAACAACGAGCTGTGGGGTAGCAGGTTATTCACACCCCTGGAAGTGTGTGAGTGCTTCTGGAGAATAGTGAGCCATGAAGCAGAAGTTTTTCAAGAAACAGTCCACTGGAAAGGTAAGTATTAGGGATGCACAGATACTTTTCGAGTACCAGTGCAGATACTTGGCATTTTCATGAGAACGACCAGGGTTGCAGCGGTTGCAGCTGGGACCTGGCTCTGGCACTCCACCACTGTCCTGAAATCATTAGTCTGTATTGTTTTAGAAAAACTGTCACATGACAATAAACAAAAATGTATCAGTACTCGTACTTGTAAGTACTTGGCAAGTACCAGTACTCGTACTCGCAAACCTGGTATCTGTGCATCCCTTTATTTATATTTATAAAAACAAAATCGTACATTAAAACAGAGATGTACAAATCCCAGGAGCTCCGTGTGCTCCTTACAAATGACAGCTGCCTCCTAATTTTTTTAATTTTTCTCTAGTGTAGTCTTGGAGCTTAAAAGTATGTGTACTTGTACTTGTACCGAGTACTGTACTTGGTATCTGTGCAACCCTAGTAAGTATATTAGTAACCTAGTAAGTCAGTCTTATTCTTGCAGGAATGCTTTACATTCAAGTGACCTTGTGCTGATAATGAGAGCAAGGCACGTTTGAACTCCTGTCCTAGGGTCACAATGCAGCTCTTCTATAGGTACAGTACAATGAGTGAGCATTGTCATCTTAAAACAGGAACTGTGTTACTGGCAGGATCAGCAGGAAAAAATAAAGAAGAAAAAAAAAGGAAACCAGGAAAGCCACCACAAGGACTGGTACGCTGCCATGTTAATTTTTGGGGGTTCAGATAGGCTTTAAAGAGGGACTTTACCTATATCTTTAAATAACAACAAATACATATTTTGAAATGTTTAGTAACGGCAATCTACAAACAGATGCTTATAGATAATTGCCAACTTTGTTTTCTTTGCATACCTTATTTTTCTTTTCCTTCCCATTCTTCTCACATTGTCCATTTTTACTAAAGCCAGATTAGCATATCTCCCTTACTTCCTGGAACTCTGGCACATGTGACTAGGACATGTGACCATGCATATTATCTCAGAGGAGGATAATGCCTTTCCCTATGATGTAACCTTCCCAGGATACAACGCTTGGGCACATTACATCACTAATGCCCATGAGAACAAGGAAGTGGAAAAACAACAATTGTAAGTAAAATTTAAATATGTTTGTTTAACTAATGAATGTACTGATGTGATTTTTTGTGAAATGGGGTAAAGGTCAGCTTTAAGCTTCCAGACAAAAACCTTAAATAACGTTTTAAATGTTAGCTTTTTACTAGCTCTTAATCTTAGTGCATTGCAAGCATTATTTGCGATGCTTCAGATGATATGCTTCATCTTTCTGTATTTTTAATGTATGTAACAGAACGAATCCTGATACTTTCCTAATTTAATTAAGCCAGCAATTGCATACCTTGTTAAATTATGCTTGCTACTGCCATTCAGCAGGTCTGCCTTAATACCTTAGTAAGTAAAGAGTCAGGAGTTAGAATCATGTGGGAGGGATTATACAACTCACATCAGTAGATTCACACATCCTCAGGAAGGTTTCAGATGGCGTACACAGCTTCTTTTCCTCACCGATTGGTACAATGCCTGGAATACAGGGAAAAATCTGAATCAGTACAAGTCCATCATGTTGCTAAGAGGAAATCTTCCTCCTGATATCTGTGAGGTCTATTAAAAGAATGTCCAATGAAAGCCTTTATATCCTAACATATCAACACGCATTCCCATTATATTTTCAAAAACATATAAAGCCTTTCAGGTCCAAAACTGTTTAGACTGTTTAGAAGTCAGTAGCATTGATCTCCTCTAGACTATTCATGGTTGCCCTACATGTGCATCCTCTCTTCTTCTCTGCACATCTATCAGATAGATGTATCTGATATAGGCTGTGTGTACCTTATTCAATTCAACACATGCAGACTTATGAGAAAAGGTATAAACCTATAATATAATAAAGTTCTCCTTTAAATGCACAGTTTATTGAACATTACCTAAGCAACATATTTTTTTAGATTTATATCAAGATATAATCTTCACTGAATAATGTAGTCCGTAGGTCAGGGTATCAAGATGTATGATACACACTTCCTACAAAATATGATACACAGACAATCACAAAGCGTTTTATTGTGCCCCTCTGTGATATAATGTGGCACAGCTTGCTTCCCTACAACATATATGACTCTTACTTGTACATGTAATCATCTGTTGGTAATAAAAAACATCTATATCTGAAATGAACAAAGCAGTTATAATAATGTTCACAGGAACTTCTGACCTGAAAACTAAATCACAGAAGACTACTGGAGTCAAACATTAGAGGGAAAAATATATTTGTGCCCTTATCCAGGGACAGTGGCTTAGAGCATTACCGCAGACAAAAAACCACTCTGACCTGAAATATTGAACATCAAAGTTATGTAGACCTTTCTGTACAATAGCCTTCTTCATTCAGTAATGTATATAATTTTTGCGGAAAAGAAAAATGTCTTTCTTTGATTTACAAAATGACAATGCCCCTAAATTAAAGGACATCCATAATACACATTAAAGTATACATCTACAGATTAATAAAAATAAGAACGTTTTTAAAGGACATTTTCTAAAAGGAAGAATACTGAAACATAAATGGCCAGGCTTGAGCATAAGAACACACAAAATCATGGTTACTACATTAGGCAAACCATTTACTAAGGGGGTTAATCACTAAAGAGCCGAAGGATCCAGCCGTAGATTCGGCTGATCCTTCAGCTCTCTTCGGCTGCCTCTGCCCTTCCGTTCATTGAATAGCCCGTACAGCCTATTGTGAATAGCCCGTACAGCAGCTGAAGGCTGCCGAGTGGCACAGCCGAGCCGAAGGCATATGCTGCGGCTCGACTGAGCCGAAGTGACAGCCAAAGAGTGGAGAAAGGTGGGCCGAAGGGCCGACCATTACTCCACGCACATAACAGCTGGGCTGAACCAGCCGTGATCTCACAGCTGGCTCCGCCCAGTTGTAATGACAGAACAGCATCTCCAAATGACCTGGGGATGCTGGTCTGCCATTAAACAATAACAACTGGGCGGAGCCAGCTGTTACATCACGGCTGGCTCTGCACAGTTGTTATTTATTGGCCGGGATCTGCTAGAATACTCTGGCAGGTGCCGGCCACTAGGAAACAGTTGAGCCAAGCTAGCTGTCACCGATACCTCCACCCAATTGTTTTTCTTTTTGATTATTTTTTACTTTTTCTCTTTTCTTTAAAATATTTTTTTTATTTTCCTATTTTTTTACATTTAAAAAAATATTTTTCAACTTTTGTTATTCATTTCACTCTTTTTCTGAGCCCAATGCCACTGCCGATGTACGGCTGAAATCATCGCTTTGTGAATTTGTTAGCTTTGTGAATAACCCCCTAAATGTTTTCTTTACTGTGCCTTGACATTCTCTTTAAGATGGAAACTCTAAAACTGGGTCGGAACCTAACATCCAAATTTAATTGTACAAGCCCACAATATTATTATAAGTCAGGAGCTAGGCTGTTTTATCCTGGCACACCAGCGAACATGTAGAAGAGTCAGAGGTAGAGATAAAAAACATTTTTTGGGGGGGGGGTTGATTTCCCTCCTGTCTTAGTTTCTTTTTGTTGGAATATTTGCCCCTTCATATCCTAAGAGCACAAAACTAATCTGTGTTCAATTGAGCAATCAGGGCAACTTTGTTAACTCACATTCATCATATACTGTATCCTCAGGTCCTCCAGGTTTGCTCCATGGTCTTCTCCAACTTGAGCCCCTTACCTGCCCAGGTCCTGGGCAGCTGTTAATGATATAATTACTGCAGGGCTGATTTGTGGAAGCTGTTGTGAACATCCTCCCCCATTCAAAGCCACAGTGCATTAAATTATAATGCACTGAATTCTTTCAAATGATGGCTTTTTTGACTTTTTGAATTTCATGCTAAACTAAATAGACAGAAAACCAGTACTTTATTTCACAGTTTTCATTGTATACACATAGAAGCAGAATGACAAGTGCTTTTGTTTCAGCATGGATTCATTGCATTTCATAGCAAATTGTCCAATTAAAACTTGCAGCTAGTTCCCACAAAAAGATGTATTGATGGTTGCCTATGCTTTGTATAATGTGAATTCTCTTTAGTCAGAAGATCATGCACTTTTTGTGTTTTTTAAAAAATTTCTGAACAAAATAGCACATACCAAACTGACGAAGGTCCAAACAAAAATTAGCTTCACCAACTACTGTGGCATTTCGACATACAGTCCAAAGATTGAAGTACATGTAAACCGGTAGTGAGGTGAAAGCTGTGACTCCAAGCCAGGCGAGCATAAAGAGGTACGTCAGCATAATAAACTACAAAATAAACAAATACATGAAGAAATTTAATATATTTAATGTACAGTGCAGTATCATCTTTCAAGCAACCTTTTACTTATCTGACTAGTAGTAAATTGATACCTGATATTGGTTACTGAACGTTGCACATTAGAGCTGTTCTCTGCACTGCAAATACATTTTACATTATATCATCAAACTAATTAAATATACAGTAGAGTGCAGATTTCGTCACAAGTTCTTGCACACCTCTGGACAAGACCCCAGCCTTTTTTTCTATGATTCCGTGCTGTTCTACTTTCTCTTATTTTCACTAACAGATGACAAGCAACCTACAATGGGCAAACTCTCAAAACAGATTACGAGAAGACCTTTTAAACATGTATATGGCCTGGTTCACTACAACTAAGTGTGGATACAATACAAATGTTCTGGGGAGGTAGGCCCTTGTATGCATTGGAAGGCACATCTGACTGGAATGAAGCACATTTGGTGCTTCATACATTATTTTGCAAATTACATTTTCTAAATGGTCACCATAAAGAAAATGTAATGAATTACTGTGAATTCTCAACTTTTCTTGATACTGTTTTCCAGGGAAAACAAATCTAATATTTATTGATTGTTGCATGCCTGTATAGAAAATTATTTTTTTACAATCTATCCAATGTTTTTGAGGACTTATTATCTTTATCTGTGCAGTGTAAGTGCCCCTCAGTGTGGTCAGTGCAGGGGAGAGAAAGTGTTGTTCTGAACCCTGTGATGATTGTTCCTGTACCAGTGTAAGGATTTCAAGTGCTGAAAAAAACCCCACAAACTCCTATATCTTCTCTCCACTGCATACTCATTGAGTGCCAAATGCGGTGGATCACAAAGATGTTTCGGCAAATTCAAAATATCCATGGTTGAGTTCCTATTTGATCTAAGATTCTCTCTATCACGTTACTCATTAAAACATTAACACTGTAAGAGGAACATTTTTTGTGTATATTGTATAAATCAATGAACTAGTCTACAGCTCCATTTAGTCTTCAATGATCCCTTACTTATGTAACATGCATGTGCACGTAGACACATTGGGAATAATAATTATCCTATTGTAGTAGATCTATGTTTACCCCAAATATCTCTTATTTTTTTGTACATTTGTTCATATAATGAAATACACAAATATGTAAAATGGCTCTAGTCAGGAGCCTTAAAAAGAAGGCAAATATAGAGGGGTGATTACAAAAAAATTGTAAATGAAGGAGGAAACTTAGAGGAATATGGTAAGCAGCTGTAGCTGATAAGTTATCATACTCAAAAGACTAGATACATGTGTCAATAAACAGGTACAGTATCTTCAAATTATTAAATGACTGCTGTATTGTTACAAATGCAATACTTAGCTAATTCTCTTCCAGCCTAGAATAATTACACCTTACCAATAACCAAATATACACTACTGACTTGCTACAAGTGAGCAATCCTCTGCTGTTTCTTTTTTCAACCCTGTTTTTTTGTGTATGTCCTTTTGCTTCTGATTGGGTCATCTTTAGAAGATGATTTCAGCACATTTACTAAGAGGGTTATTCACAAAGCTAGCCGAAGGATCAGTTGTAGCTCCGGCTGATCTATCGGCTAGCTTCGGCCGCTGGAGCCCTTTGGTTTAGTCGAACCGAAGGGCTGCTGTACGGGCTATTGACTATAGCCCCTACAGCTCCCGAAACTGGCCGAGCCGAAGGCATATGCCGAAGTGGGGTGAACGACCGGCCATTGGCCGGCCAAAAGTCTCGCAACTGGCAGCTGGGCGGAGCCAGCCATGATCTCACGGCTGGCTCTGCCCAGTTGCAATGACAGATCAGCGTTCCCAGATTACCTGGGGACGCAGAAAACTGTCATTAAACAATGAAAACTGGTCGGAGCCTGCCGTGACGTCACGGCCGCCTTCGTCCAGTTGTTATTCCTTGGCTGGGACCTGCTAGAAGACTCTAGCAGGTCCCAGCCAATAGGAAACAGTAGGGCAGAGCTAGCTCCACCCAATTGTTTTTTTTCTTTCTTTTTTTAAAGAAATCTGTATTTCTTTTTTGTAATTTATCATTTATTTACATTTTTAAACATTTTTTTTCTCCTTTTTTTTTCTTTCAACTTTTTTCAGAGTTTCTTTTCTGCTCTGTACCACGGAGGTACTGAGCAGAATAGCTGAGCCGAATGCTGCACAGCCCTATGAGAATAGGCCGAACAGCAGCAAGTAGTCTGCTGGAGGTTCGGCTCAACCGATCCATATGTTGGATCAGCTGAGTCAAACGTAATCTTCACTTCGGCTCAGTCGAACATGGTGAACATGTTCGGCTGAACCGAAGCCAGCCAATGTACGGCTGATTTCAGCTGATGTACGGCTGAAATTAGCTGTACAAGCCCGAAGTGAATACCCGAACAGCATTCGGCTCACTTCACTTCGGGTGGGTTACTCACTCGGCTGCCTTTGGCAGCTTTGTGAATAACCCTCTAAGTTACTGGAAAATTCCCCTGCAAAATGTAAATTCCCTAGCATAGTGAACAGCCTATTTTCCTTTCGTAAATCAACCCTCTTAACTCAACTTTCAGCCAAGAGTTAGAATAACTGTTTATATGAAAAGAAATAACCTTGAAAATATATATATTTTGCTACATTTTATTACAAAAGTATATAATTTGCATCAAATTGATGATGACTATTATATCTCACAAATACAGATGAATAAAAAGACCTGCTGTGTCTGATATCTTATTAGAATGGAGCAAGCCCTGTAGCAATGTTTGCTAAATAAACAAGTGAATGCATTTACCATTCAGAGGGTGTTGCAAACTCCCAAATTTTCACACACTTTTACATAGTGAATCTCTTTTAGATTTATCCAGTTTCTGGTAAAAGTAACAGAGCAAAACCAGGGTGCAGCTTTGTTCCCCAAATTATAACATAACAAAAGGTATTTGAATGAAAAAAAGATATAAAATCCAAGGGACTTTCCTTTTTAAATGCTGTTAAAACGGCACACAGAGCTGCAACAGCCTCCCACACTTTCATGGATTGGGTTCAATCTTGGGCTGCTCTGACAGGCTAAGTGTTGGTACTTTCGGATAGTGTCAGAGATGCCCATCACTTCTTACTTGTTGCATATTCCTGTCTTTCAATGAGCAACATTGATGTAAGGGGGTGGGGTACTACCCAGAAGAGATTGGACTTTGCCTGTCCAAATGGCCCAGCATTTAGCTGAGACAGTAAGGTTTGGGAGGATGGTGCAAGTTTGCGCACATCCCTCTAAGTGTCTACACTTTATATCTACAGCAATGTGTCACCCTTCCCCCTATAAAAGACTGTCTTTAAAAAAATTGGAGAATAGGGGAATATTCTAATTTGGATAAATGTTTAATTTTTTTTTTATTTGCATCATAGGTGCAGAAAAACCTGGGGATGATCAGCTTTAAACTGATGTTGAGATGAGGCCATTTTTGGGATCCTTCACTGAAGTACCTTGACACTGAAAGATATATTGGCTGATAATAAAATAACAGGTGCCTGCACATTCTAAGCCCTCTTGTTATAGGGATGACAGCCTGTAAGCCCAGGCTGACAAACTCCCTGCCTGCAAAACCAATCTGTGTGCCTCACTGACCATTGCTACATAATTGTAGGTTATAATGTCTCATTTGTTGTGGTATGTATTGCTGCATATACCCCCTACCATTTTATTGGCTGCTACATGATGTCAGGTTTGTTTTCTAGAAGCCCCTATTATGATTACTGCCCTGAGCCCAACATTGTCTAAAGCTAGCATTATTTCTAGTTTGTAAAACCAAGCCCCTATTTTTTATATTCAATATGTAATCCAATTGGAATCTAGAAGCAACCTTTCTTTATTTCCTGTACTCCATCTGTGTTCCTGCTAATTAGAATCTGCTGCCTATCCACTGACAATGTTTGGCACCAATTACTAAGGCATTAATGAAAACCCTTCACACTTTATTCATGCAGAACATTTCACTCCAGTTGACTCTTATGAGCTTTTCTCACTCTACATGAGTAAAATATAAACCGCAGAATAAAGTGAAAATAAAACCTTTATGCTGGGAGACAACGGTATTAATCAGTGGCAGGTTTATAATTGGGTAGATAAGACACATGCCTGCAGGACAAAGAACAGTCTATCATGCAAGACTCAGGCACATCAATGCATCATCAGCTATTGATGGCTGAATCGGTTTGTGAAAGCATTTGCATTTGATAAAGCTTATTCTTAATTATTTTAGAATACAAATAGATGTTACAAGTAGAATGTAAAAGTCGTATTTTGCAGCAGCCTACAACTTATTACACAAATGTAATATTCATGTGTATTTCATATTTTCATTTTGTTTCTGCATTGCAAAAAATCCAAGGGATCTATTTAAAAACATAATGCGAGGAACAGTGCTGAGTGGCACATAGCAACCAATAAGAAATCAGAATTTATATATGTAATCATAGTGAGCTGCTGATGTGTCATTTGAAGCTGTGAACTACTTCATGTCATTTATCGTTATTCACACTGTGCTGGAAAATAAGCCCAAGAATAAAGCAACTGTATCGTTGGTACACAAATATAAGCTAATAAGGCTATTTAAAGGATCTCAGCAGTATTTTAATAACAAAAAAACTGTTTCTTCCAGTGTCCAGTACCCAGGAAAAAAAAATATCCCAGCACACTCAGTACCCAGGACAGACACCGTAATCTTATGTTAGCCTTTAAACAGAGGAAAGTTTCTATTTTTTGGGGGGCTTTTAGTCCCTCTGATTCAGCCTAGCCTGACAAAGGGATTTCTGTTCAGTGCAGAGTTGGAAAACAATATTTTAAACAGGTCTTCTACTGTCATAAACCTCCTGGTATGGTCACCGATGGGTCTTCCTACTTTGGGAACCCTTAGATTTTGAGTACTGAGATATATGGCATTATGTTTCTGAAGACTTGACATATGTGTAGTGTAGCATTTAGCAATACCATTTTATTTAGCTGTTATAGTTGGTGAACAGCGATGCTATAAATATATTGTATATGTTTTGTTTGTAACTGGCTGGTCTATTCACTAAAGGGTGGAGAGTTTGGAGAAGGCAGGAGAAGTGAACAATCTAGGCAACAATAGCTGATTTGGAAAAATTATCCAATTCAGCTCACTTTCGAGTTCAGCTATGTTGTCCTAGATTGTTCACTTCTCATTCCTTCTCCAAACTCTTCACCCTTTAGTGAATAGACCCCTTACTTTTGAAGAATATGGTTAAATGGTATCATGTGATTACAACGTTTAGATTAGCTCACAAACAACTACTACTTAAAGCTGAACTCCAGGCAACAGACACAGCATATCTTAAAGAGTATTTTCACTTTTACAGTCACACACATATGAAAAATAAACACTACATGTTTTTTATCTGTTTCCATGCACACACCATGTCTAAAAAATATTTCTTAAAACATACTTCTTAGATGTTTCTTTGGAGCACACTCTTGGGAAGACTACAAGCTACTATGAACATTTCCTGAGTGGGTCTGCCCCCAACTCAAAGGGGAACAGACTGAGTTTCCTCTCTTTAAAAGGGGCCATACACCTTACAACCATCGCACGACTTTCGTTGTGCGATGGTTGTAAGGTCATTAAAATTTCGTACGACCTTGGACAGGCAGATCGTACTTGCGATCATCGCAAGCCCTCCCTGCTGAGGGGAGAGCTTGCCGATTTTTGCAATGCTGAGCGGGCAGTGTGCGCTTGCGCACAACAGCCCGTGTGGCTTTCGTCTTCCAAGTATGCTACCAACCCGCCGGAAATCATAAGATTTTCGGCAGGTTTTCCTGCGTGCTAGGATGAGGAAAGTCGTGCAACCGTACAGTAGATGCTGTCGCACGCTGCCCATACACCTGCCGATTATCGTACGATCGCGGGATCACCCGCGATTATCGTACGATAATAGCAGGTGGGCACCTTAAATACAATGCAAGAAGCCAGGCTTCCTGATTTTGTAACCATTTGTTAGGAAAGACAGTGTTCAAGGCTAATTTACAACTCATGAGATCTGCCAGCACAGTATAGAAAGAGTATAAAACTATTATGGTAAATATTAACTGGCCACCCCACTCAAGACCATCCTTGAAATTACACAGAATGGAAATACCTCAGTTTTGATGTTTTCAGAATAAAGCAAGCAACACGTTTTAATTTCTGCTAAATGAGAATGGGATCCTGTAAAAGAAAGGTGGTATGCCAATTTGGCTGCAAAAGGGGGAATACACGTTAAGCTTTATCTCTGATCCCAAGTATCACTAGGTGGATCCAGTGGAAGGAACGTGCAGGGCACCCTACAGGTCTTCCTGTACACATAGGGTGCTCTATCTAAGCCAGTGTGAGCTGGACTGCAGGCGGCTGCATGGATAGTGACAGGGAAACAGAGAACTCCCATGTCATTTCTCCAGCACCTTGCTCATATTTATATTTCATTAGTGTCTTCCAATTATGCTGTCAGTGCTGATTTAGCCGGTTGAAAAATGATTGTGCTGCTCCTTGATCAACTTCCCCCTTATGACAATCACAAGTCCAATGAGAGAGGTAGGGGTAGGTGAGCAAGTTATTAAAAAACAATAAGTGCATTTATTTAAATAATTCTGTTCTTTTGTCAGCTTACAATACAAAAACATAAGCAGGACATTAACACAACACCAAATAAAAGCTTTATAAGTCCCTGAAAAAATGCACAATTTATCTAGGTAGGTAAATTAGTTTTAGGATTATAGGCATGCTAACGGACACATACTAATACTGCTAAATTTGAGCACAGCACTTAGCCTTCACTGACCTCTGGTCATGAATGGGTTTATAAGAAATTCCAAGAAACAAGTGGAAACAATTAAAGAGCCATAGCTGGTCTGTGTCTTTGTACTGAAGGTGTCCCCCTCTTTTAAAATTGAAATGTATGCATCAGCAGGTATGTACATGAAATGCAGCAAATAGTGTGTTCCAGAATGACAATTAGATGTGTTCTAAGAACACTCAGGACACAGTAGTGATGTAAGGGTTGTCAGAGAAACCAATAAGTAAAGCTGAGAACTAAGAGTTCAACACTCCTGGAAGTGTCGATTACTGAAGAGTCTTCTGACATTGTGATTTGTGATTTTTCTTTCTTAGATCAGCATTTTTCAATGTGGGCAGCAGGAGAAGTATTTACTCTCTTATTTACAGGGAACAATTCTATTCACAGTTCGATTCAAGTGACGGTCTTAATTTTTTATTGAACAAAATTTTCTGAAGATAAACATACCCATGCGCTCACACATCGGCCACAAGTTGTAATTTTGAAATCCCCATAGAGATCCTTAATGGCTCCAGTTGTGAAGAATCCTTCTACCATCAGTAAAATTCCATAGACAAAGAATGCTGCTGCTATACCATAGATCACATATTTGAAGATATCAATCCTGAAAAGAAAAAGAAAAGGACAATAGATGAATAAAGCTAGCCATTATAACCATCAGAGTAAACAGGATGTCCAGGTCACTGAAACCACTCCACCAAACATCTAAACAGTCCTAAAGGAAATAAATAACATAGAGTTCCTCAAGTTTATTATGGACAATTGGTATTATAAATTATAAACTATAGCATTTCAGGGATGACAATGAGGAATCGGACACTTGCAGGGTTATTCACAAAAGGGTGGAGAGTTTGGAGAATGCAGGAGAAGTGAACAATCTAGGACAACATAAAAAAAGTAGTAACATAAAAAAATTAAAAATGTAAAAAAATTGTTAAAGTCCCCCGCCCCCACATGCGCGCACAATGCAAACACCCGTCCGGTGTGCCTTCGTACAAAAACAAAAATTGCACCACACATGTTACATATAGTCGCGAGCGTCAGAATGAGAGCAATAATTCTAGAACCATCAATCACTGGTAGCACTAAACTGATGAGCCATAAAAGCGTTTAAAGCGTTGCCTATGGGAAATTTTGGTTATTGTAGTTTTTTGCAGTTTCCCGGACGCATGCAATTTTAAGGCTTGACATGTTTGGTATCTATTTACCCAGCGTGACCCGTCTGTTATATTATTTTAGTGTATTTTATCCTAAAAATACTTGTTTGATAAACAAATACCATGCAACATAAACAATTGCAACTAGCATCTTTTTATTCTGCAGGGGTTCTGCTTTCAGAAAATATATAATTGTTTGGGGGTATGTTTTCTAGCCAAAAATCCTGATTTTATCATGTGTGTGCAAATGCAAGAAATTGCTCCGGGCAGCAAGTGGTTAATAACAAATATTTGTACATTTTAAATTGCATCTTTTTTTGTGAAATCGGTAAAAAAATAAAGAAGTGCAACATTGTGTGTGTTGCGGTAAAATGATGCAGGCATACATTTAATTGCAATTACAATGCACAGCAATGGTTTGCCACACATGGTTAAATTAACAGGGGGTCTGTTTTACAATAAATAGCTGTCATCATGATAAAAGCTATACATTTAAACAGAAGAGTCAGGGGGACGCTTCTGTTACAAGCTGATGGTCGCTGAAGTGATAGCAGAAGGCTGAATGCAGCCAACATAAGGCATTGAGCTGGTCAGCTCGGAATATTTATGTTCTGCCATATGCCTTACGTCAGTGGCATGGAAAGAGTTAAAGGCTAATTATACCATTCGTCTCTTGTTCCATACTGCAACCATATTTAGAGTGTAACATGGAACATGGTGCTATTCCACTGCCCCCCCCCCCCTTACCTGAATTGCAAGGCGCCGTCTCGTCTCTGCTCCTACAGCGGGAGAGACAGTTTTGCCAGACGCCTCCACGCCACCAACCACCAGGAACGCCGCCTCGAGGCTGCATATTGGTGTCGGAGATCTCCAACTTGTAGGACGAGTGTAACTGTCCAACAGGATTGGCTGGGGCTCCACGGACAGCGCGGTGACGTCATAATCACGCCGCAGCGTTGGATGCCGTTATAGCGCCCACGTGAGCCACCGACACCAATATGCGGCCTCGAGGCGGCGTTCCTGGTGGTTGGTGGAGAATAGATGTGCTCCACCTTCCAACCCTTCAAGCACTACCCACAGAATCAAATACCTATACACTGTGGACACTAGACTAAGCATTATTGTGGACAAATACTTTAAACCCATCAATTTGGATGAGGAATCATGTGGATCCCTAACTGAACCAGCATTGGCTTCTATATTTTATCATGCGTGTATAGTTGCTTCCTACCACCAATTGAATCATGTTTTGTTCCTAGGGCCACATTCTGCTCCCAAAGCAGTACTAGCGAAGAATAATATTCCCTTCCACAGCCCTATGAACATTCTTGTCAAGGGCCTCTCTGTATGTTAGTATGTCATTCTGGTCATTGGCACTATAATCCCAAATCATGTATGTCCATAAGAACATAGGGTGAATCATGTTGGCTTTGCAAATGAAGAGGTACTGTGTTATGTGGAAAGAGCTGTGTAGGGACTATCTATTTAGTTAAATAATTTTTATCATTGGCTTTGAGCCCTTTCTTTTTTCCCGATGTACAGCTGATTTCAGCCGATATACGGCTGAAAGCAGCCGTACCAGCCTGAAGTGAATAGCCGAACAGTGTTCGGCTCACTTCGCTTCAGGTCGGTCGTTCACTCGGCTGCCTACGGCAGCTTAGTGAATAGACCCCACTGTCTTCTTATACACTGACATGTTATCACACAGCCATATTTGCAATGACATGGAAAGTTCAAAGAGATTTACCCCATGTGTGGCGCTCAGCAAAGGTGGGGTGAGTGGTGGTATTTGGTGGGTACCCCGTTCGTGACTGGAGCGTGGGGGAATTTTTTGTGTAGAGAGTTTGGAGGAGGGGGGCGAGGGGGTGTGGGTAGGGGGTTTATTTTTGTAGAAAAATAGAAGCGTCTTTATTGCTCTGTGGGTGTGCAGCTTCCGTGGTGTTCGGAC